TCTATGTATTTAGAATGCGATGTCATAAATGTCGCTGTTAGTGTAATGGTCAGGTCCCAATACTTTTTGGATCCATGGGACTTAGTATAAGAAGGAAAATACAAATTTAATGAACATTTTTAAAACAAGATACAAAATAAAACCAAATATGCTCCTTCTAATGGAAGGAGTGCATGTGAACATTACTATTTAGTGCAAATCTGTTTTTATTTTGTATCTTATTGTTTTAATACATTTGTATTTGCCTACTTATACTTAGTCCCATGTATGTCACCATTTTTATGATTCCACAAGAAGGGCAGGGCCATCTTTAACGCAGGGGAAAGGGAGCAGCTTCCTGTGCCCAATTACTCATGGGGAACCCAAAACAGCTGCCCCATTTGCCCTCTGCTTGTAGCAATTTATTTTAGGAGCACTGATCCTGTGGGCCCTCACACTAAGTGGGCCTATCGGGTTGCCAATTCAGTTAGGACTACCCGGTGGGCATTTGGCAGCAGGGGCCCAGTTGGGAAGAAGTAACAGCCGAAGACTTCCTCCCACAGATACTGGAGCAGAGCGGGACATAGAAGGCAGTGAGGAGGGTAGCTGCAGGAGGGGCCTGGGAGCCTAACTCACAACCACCCCAGCCAGAACACTAGTACCCTGGGAAGCCACCCTCCTGCACCAAAAATGTAGGAAACTGGAGGGTGGCTTCTAAAAATGTAAATTTTTTTTTATATGTGTGTGTGTCTCAGGAGGTCTGTGTGTCAGTATATGTGTCTGTGTGTCAGTATGTCTGTCAGTATATGTGTCAGTATATATATCAGCGTCTGTGTCCGTATGTCTGTGTATCTGTATGTTGTCAGTGTGTGTATCTGTATATTGTCAGCATGTATATTTGTGTGTGTATGTGTCAGTGTATCTGTATGTGTGTATCTATATGTAGTCAGTATGTGTATCAGCATGCGTCTCAGTGTGTGTCTCTGTATCTGGTTGTGTATCTGTGTGTCTGTATGCATGTCAGTGTGTGTATCTGTATGCGGATCAGTATGTGTATATGTGTCTTAATATCTGCATGTGTGTCAATGTTTATATATCTGTGTATCTCCATGTATTTCAGTGTGTGTGTGTGTATATCACAGTGTGTGTTTGGCAGTGTATGTGTATATGTGCATACATCTCAGCATTCAAATGCCAACACTACACACAAGTACACCCCTGCACTTCAACACTACATACAAGCACACTTCTGCATTGAAATGTCAACACTATGTATGAAAACACCTCTGAGTTAAACACCAAAATAATATATATATATATATATATATATATATATATATATATATATAAACACACTACTGCATTAAAAAAACAATACTACACACAATTGCGTGCTTGCATTTAAACGCCAAAACCACATACATTTTTTTTTTCTCCTGAGCACATCTGACTGGGAGATAGATGGAAAAGTGTCAGCATAGTACAAATCTCTGTTTGAGATCTGAGCCTATGTTTAATTTGCTCTACTTCATATGAGTGTATCCAATATATATAATATACACTCTCAAGTTACCCACTGTAAAACACAATGTATAATATATAGATACAGTCAGTAATCTGCACACTGTACAATATATAGATACAGTCAGTAATTTACACAGTGTATATTATATAGTCAGTAAGGTAAACACTGTTTAATAGATACAGTCAGTGATATGCACACTGTAATGTATAGATACAGACCGCAATATTTGGACTGTAATACAGTATATAGATACAGTCAGTGATATACAATGTATAATATATAGACACAGTCAGTAATGAGCACAGTATGTAATATATTGATACTGTCAGTAATAAGCACAGTGTATAATATATAGATACAGGTAGTGATATAAACACTGTATAATATATAGATACAGTCAGTAATAAGCACAGTGTATAATATATAGATAGAGGCAGTGATATAAACACTGTATAATATATAGATACAGTCAGTAATAAGCACAGTGTATAATATATAGATACAGGCAGTGATATAAACACTGTATAATATATAGATACAGGCAGTAATAAGCACAGTGTATAATATATAGATACAGTCAGTGATATAAACACCTTATAATATATAGATACAGTCAGTGATATAAGCACTGTATAATATATACAGTCAGTAATAAGCACAGTGTATAATATATAGATACAGTCAGTAATAAGCACAGTGTATAATATATAGATACAGGCAGTGATATACACAGTGTGTAATATATAGATACAGTCAGTAATAAGCACCGTGTGTAATATATAGATACAGTCAGTGATATACACAGTGTGTAATATATAGATACAGGCAGTGATATACACAGTGTGTAATATATAGATAGTAATATACACAGTGTATAATATATAAATACAGTCAGTGATATAAACACTGTATAATATATAGATACAGTCAGTAATAAGCACAGTGTATAATATATAGATACAGTCAGTGATATAAACACCATATAATATATAGATACAGTCAGTGATATAAGCACTGTATAATATATACAGTCAGTAATAAGCACAGTGTATAATATATAGATACAGTCAGTAATAAGCACAGTGTATAATATATAGATACAGGCAGTGATATACACATTGTGTAATATATAGATAGTAATAGGCACAGTGTGTACTATATAGATACAGTTAGTGATATAAACACTGTATAATATATAGATACAGACAGTGATATACACAGTGTGTAATATATAGATACAGTCAGTGATATAAACACTGTATAATATATAGATACAGACAGTGATATACACAGTGTGTAATATATAGATAGTAATATACACAGTGTGTAATATATAGATAGTAATAGGCACAGTGTGTAATATATAGATACAGTCAGTGATAAACGCACTGACTGCACTGATATTAATGAAAATGAAAATCCAGCGCACTCGCTTATCTACTAAACAGTCATTTTAATGCTGAACAATTTTCAGTTTTATTAAAAACACCTAATCTAGGCAAAAAAATTATAATGGGGGTTTAGTTACAGTATATGATCATACATTGCGTAAGCCTGCCACAACGTCAATGTACCCCATCTTTGGCAGGTCCTACTCTGTCTGCTAAATGAGCTTCTCACTTGGGGAAATCCTTCCATCTCGAGGTCTCTGCAGTACAATGCTTAAATAGGATCCTGACATGAGGCACCTGTAACAGGGAGGGGTGATATTAATAACAGTACTGTGTGCACTATGTAGTTAGTGTGTTATCTATGGTAACATTCACTCAGGCAGCGCCGCGGGCAGCCCATTCTGCCTGTGAGGACCCCAGTAGAACTTGGTTGCTGCTCTGACAGGACGCCTAAGCTGAGCCGTTGCCATGGGGACGCGGCCTACATGCTCCGCCTGACCCGTGTACCGGCTGCTCGCTGTGCTCGGTGATGGGAACCGGGATGGAGATGGAGCCGCTGCTCCAGGCCTGGAGTTATTTCCGCCGCAGGAAGTTCGAGCAGTGCGCCCAGGCCTGCTCCCGCATCCTGGAAAAGGAGCCCTGCGACCAGGTACCGGGGGGGGGGGCAGGTAGGTGATGGGTAGCATAGGTAGGTGATGGGTAGGATAGGGAACTGATAGGGAGGGCAGGTAGGTGATGGGTAGCATAGGTAGGTGATGGGTAGGATAGGGAACTGATAGGGGGGCAGGTAGGTGATGGGTAGGATAGTTAGGTGATGGGGAGGGCAGGGAGCTGATGGGGAGGGCAGGTAGGTATACCTTGGGTACTATAAGGTTTATAGTCATAAAACATTATATGGTGACTCCTTTCACTTAATGAAACCCCACATCCTCCTCTATAACACTGACACCCTGAAAGTTATCCACTAAACTGTGACATGTTAACCAGATTGTACAATTTAGGCAAAAAAAATATCTCATGTGAAGTAAAACTCCAACTCTGCTATAGTGACAAATTGAATATTTTAGGCTAAATTGTGCAATTCGGTTTTCAGTTCACTGTGAGGCTTATTCACTAAACTGTGACTTGAAGTAAATTGAAAACAGATTTGCCAGTGTGCACAAATATGGCAGATTAAAAAAAAAAAATTACAACTTTGTTTTCAGTTTATTGTTGTTTAGTGGGTTATTCACTAAATTCTGACATTAAGTGAAATGAAATCCACATGGCAACATTTTGGCAGTAACTAAATCAAGGTTTAGTGTAGTCACAGCTTTGATATTTTAGCCTGACTTGTTCCAGTTTCTTATGTTTTGGAGTTTAGTAAATAAACCCTGTGTTATTATTCAGGGTGCCTGTGCATTTACAGTCTAAGGAATAATGGGCATTGAGACAAATGGTAGCAGGAGGAAATTTATATATAAATTGGAATGTGAGGGGCATGATAGAAAAAGATGTCAGGTGTAAGCAATTTAGCTTAAGGGAGTTCATCCAGGTGGGTAATTATGGCCTAAAGCTTAACCAATTAAAGATCAGTGAGAGAATAATTCCTTTATCAAACACCGTTATATGATGATTTTTATATCATAATTGGAATATCACACTTATTTAACAGTAATAGTGCTTTATAGCGCAGGACATTCCAGACTTGCAAAGGGTCTTTAGGGATGAGATTCTAAAGATGACATGAGATATTATCAGTCTTTAAATGAAAATATTTACAGTTGTTTTGAGGTATCACTGCTGTTTAGTAGTATATGCTAATGGTTTAAAAAAAAAAATTTTTTTTTTTTTTTTGGAAGAATAGCTTTCTTTCAACAAAGAATGTGTTTTTATGTTCTGGGTCCAATTCAATCTTTTTATATAGCATGCATATGGTTAATATGCATTCACCACGTTCTGCTAATCGGATACTTCCAATGAATATATATATAATACAAAAATACAGTTTTAGACCACCCAGGTGCAGTGTATATAGATAATAAAAAAGATAATTACTTCCTTCTCAATACATATGGAAAAATAGGCTATACCTAAACTTGGGAAATACTTCCTTACTGGGACTCTCTGTAAGTCAAGGGTAAATAAGGTGTTGGAATGAGGCACCTGTGACAGGGAGGGGTGCAAAAAAACAAACCAAACCTTCCCGTCACAGGTGCCTCATTCCAAGACTTTATTTACCCTTGACTTGCAGAGAGTCCCAGTAAGGAAGTATTTCCCAAGTTTAGGTATATCCTATTACTTCCAATGAAGACCAAGTTTCTCTATTTATGAAGCCAAACAAACGTGTCTTTCAATACTTTAAAGAGTTAGTAGCTGTGTTGATTGCAGAAACTAGAGGCATTCTGACTGACAAATGTTAATATTGCGCTATCTCACAAATGGCAAAATTTACATCTGTTATCAAAGACAATGTCATTGCACCAAAACCACCACATTAAAGGACAACTGTCACCAGAATTTTTTCCCATTCTAAGAATCCTTGCAGCATGTAGTGAAAAGATAAGGTTTTGTTTTTGTTTTTGTTTTTGTTTACATTTTATTTAAATAACTTTTTTTTATTATTATTAAAGTATATGTGAAATCCCTGAAAATTTGGGCCCTACTTTCACAGAACACTAGATTTCTTTGCCCTATTCATACAGCTTTGTTGGACTTGGGTAGAATCTGACCATTGGGCTCCTGCTTCACTCCATGCACAGAGCGGTGAGGTCATCAGCAATTGCCCTGAGTGGTATGTCTGGTCCAAATTCCGACCGCATTGGCAATTTTCATATTTGTTAAAGCTAAATGTGGTCAGAGCTCATGCGGTCCGACCAATTCTGTAACATTGGTTTGGATGAGGAATCACTGTATTTCTGAACTCCACTGTATTTCTGAACTCCAAATTAATCTATAGCACCTGGATGTTAAATTATCATTTACATGCTATTCGCAAGTAAATTATAATTTGAAGAACTGTTTTCCCACTGAGAGCGCTAGCAGCCAGTGGGTAAATAGGTAAAAACCCTCGGCAGCGAGAGGGTTAACTATGTGGCATCTGGCCTGTGCTTATTCGCAAGCCACCAAATGGAAAAAGTAAATGGGAGGGGGGAATTGTAAAAAAACAAACAAAAAAAAACCAATGGGGGGGTCAACAAGACCCCAATAGGGCTACAATGGAGGTATTTTAGCGCAGGTGGGGACATGTCTACTAAACATTAAAACTGGCATCTGAGCATCCATTGGAATAGGTCATGAGAAATAACGGGGGGCATAGTACTCCCAATGCCCTTTACCATGGACATCGGATGGGGAATACCATACAATTTAAAGGGGGCTAGTGTCCCCTCTCACCACCCACACTTCCAGGTGGGTGTCCTAATAAAGGAGGTTGGATCTTGTGTCCAACAGTCAATTCTCCAAAGATGACCAAATTACACTTATAAGGGCCCCCACCCATGTGCATGGGACACGTGATCCACCCCTCTTAATAGACATGTTAGGGTCCCCACCCACCGCTATGGGTGGGGTCCGCGGGAGTGGACACTAGGTCCCCCCTTATATTTATTTGGGCCCCCACCCGCCTACAAGAAGCTGGGGCAGAGGGAGGAGAGACTAGCCCCCCTCTTAACATTTATAGTATCTCCCACCCAATGCTCCCCCAAAAATCTGGTGACAGTAGTCCCTTAAGATGTAGTGGTGTAGGTGCTTATACTGTCCTTTTAAATGAATTCTAGTATGATATATTAGCAACATATATTTTTTATCTTTTTCATTAAACAACTGTGCTTAAAAAAATGAATATAGATAGACACACACACACATACATACAAAGTAAAGACAGGAGCACTCTCGGTTTTCCAGATATATTCAAAACTTTCACAATCTATACATCAACTTTTCGACCCTACTGTTTCTTTATCAAGATAATGACAGTGCAATGCAATGTAAATATGTAGCAAATATTAAGTGAACAACTTACCCCATCTAAAGATAAACAAAGTGGCGCTGAGTGAGACAGAACCCAATATATTGATAATTAGTGATGTCCCGAACTGTTTGCCGCGAACAGTTCGCGTGGACTCCAGTCAGCTGACACATTCCAGCCAATCAGCAGCAGACCCTCCCACCTCCTGGACAGCTCACTAAGAATGCAGCTTCAAAATGGATGCTGTCCAGGAGGTGGGAGGGAGGGTCTGCTGCTGATTGGCTGGAATGTGCCAGCTGACTGGAGTTCGCGGCGAACCGTTCGGCGAACAGTTCGGGACATCACTATTGATAATCCTCTGATGAAGTGAGACATTGCTCATGAAACGCGTAAGGGCAGGACTCTTTTCGGCACTTACCGCAAATAACTACCAAGTTGTGTTTGGAACGCATGAACACTTGGTACTAGTCTACAAATTGTGAGTGCATTTTTAATACAGCGATTTCTATTAAAGCTTTTTATACAGTAAATACTATGGATTTCTACTTTATCTCCTTGTAGAACGGAGGCACAGTCCACAACTTAAGACCGTTCTTTATGATCTTATAGTTTATTAAATGTATATGCAGTGTACAAATCCTTAATATTACAGCATTTGAAGAAGACATTACTGTTTTTATATTATACTCAAACAGCTTGTTTAGTAGTTATACCCCAGCTGGCTCAATAGCTGGAGATAACTGCTACTAGCTAACATTGTATAAACTGTATCAATTTCACATTTTGACATTTGTGTCAAACAGAGACTATAACTGTTGCAAATCTCTGGACTTTTATACAGTGGTATTTTAACATCATTGCATTGATGGTGTTCAGCAAAGTCTCCCGAGTATAACAGTACCCCCCATGTACAGGTTTTATGGTGTTTTCAAAAGTTACAGAGTCAAATATAAGGCTTGCATTTCATTTTTTTCACATTGAAATTCACCAGTTTGGTTACGTTGCCTTTGAAACCGTATGGTAGCCTAGGAATGAGAATTACCCCCATGATGGCATACCATTTGCAGAAGTAGACAACCCAAGGTATTGCAAATGGGGTATGTACAGTCTTTTTTAGTAGCCACTTAGTCACAAACACTGGCCAAAATTGGCATTCATATTAGTTTTTTGCATTTTTCACACACAAACAAATATTAACGCTAATTTTGGCCAGTGTTTGTGACCAAGTGGCTACTAAAAAAGACTGTACATAACCCATTTGCAATACCTTGGGTTGTCTACTATTGCAAATGGCATGCCATCATGGGGGTAATTCTCATTCCTGGGCTACCATACAGTCTCAAAGGCAACGTAACCAATCTGGCGAATTTCAATGTAAAAAAAAAAAAAAAGGGAAAGTGTATCATGCTATATTTGACCCTATAACATTCCAAAACACCATAGAACCTGTACATAGGGGGTACTGTTTTACACAGGAGACATCGCTGAATACAAATGTGTATTTTATTGCGGTAAAAGCAAACAGTATTTTGACACTCACAGTTAAAATGTCACGTACAACTAAGAAAATTTAAAAAAATCTTATTTTCTCCCATTTTTTAATATTTTATTCATATTAAATTATGTTTCATACCTAAATATTTGATGTTAAATGAAAGCCCTGTTTCCCCTGAATAAAATTATATATAATAAGTGTGGGTGCATTTAATATGAAAGAGGTGAATTACGGTTGGACAGACATATAGCACAAATTCCAGTTTTTGTTTACGTTTTATTTTGATCAAAACATGTACATTTAGCTCAGTCCTTAATGGGGTTAATGTCATTATACAATATTGTGAATTTTCCTAACGTATTGCTCTCCATCTCTTGTGGAACTACAACTCCCATTATGCTTAGCTAGCCTTAATACATATTAGGAAGTTGGCATAGCTACTGGTTTTACAGATTGTCACAGAAAAATACCCATAGGACACAAAGGTGTTTCTGGAAGGTTATCTTCTTATCTCTTCACCTCCAACATGGCGACAAAATTGCATTGGAAGCTTTAAACTGTACATTTTTTCTTCAAGTGGGACATATGGAGCAAGAAGAGATGAGTAATTGGATTATGAATGTAATAAGATGATGTGGAAATCGGGCTGCAAGGAAATCATTCTCTCAAGGTCACCCTGTTGTATCTGATTTCAGCAACAAATAGTTAAGCAAGCACAGCAATGCACATAAGGAAGGGTAAAATGAAACGCTACCTAACTAGCAGCAAAGCGTGTGTGTGTGTTTTGTATGGCGTTAAGTCTATCCTAGTGTGTTGGAAATTATGCCCTGTAGATTTGTAATATGGCCAGTATTGAGTAAGGGTTAATCTAACTGCAATTGAGGGTGCAGGAAGATGCTATCAATGCTTCTAGACATGTGCAATTCGTTTCGGTCCGAATTTGAATTCGGACGAATTTCGGACAATTGGATACTTCCGAATGGCAGAAGCACAGTATTGCCTAAGTACTAATGTACTTACCCAGTGAAAGAAGAAGAATGTTACACTGTATATAATTTTAAATAAAAAGTATACAAACATAGCCAGGATTCAGCTGTAAACATTTGCAACACTTACAACAATCAAGTAACACACATTCATATAAAATGTAAGTTACTTAGCCAGTCAATGTAATGACAGGAATGAATAAGTAGATAACTCCCTAATTCCCACGATATTAGGGAGCTATCTACTAAAAGGCTGAAAGACCTAAATTGGTCTTTCAGCCAAATTTACTAATACTAAGTAAATATTAGTTAGTATTAGTAAATTATGCCCCTACTCGCTATATCGCAAGTAGGGGCTTGTCTACTAAACAGTGAGCAGCCTGTGTCCCCCTTCCTGAGCCCCCACCCGCGACGTGCGAGTGGGGGCTTTTAAACTAAAGGGGGGACCTATTGCCCGGCCCCCACCCCTGAGCGGCGGGTGGGGTCCCTAAATTATAATAAGAGGGTAACCTAATGTCCTCCCCCCTGGCCTCCACCCCTGAGTGGTCGGTGGGGGCCCTAAATACTAATAAGGGGGGGACCTTATGTCCTCCCCCCTGGCCCCCACCCCTGAGCGGTGGGTGGGGGTTCCTAAATACTAATAAGGGGGGGGACCTAATGTCCTCTCCCCTGGCCCCCACCCCTGAGCGGCAGGTAGTTAATTTTTTTGGGGGGGTGACTAGGGGTTTGGGGACCCCTAGTCCATGGGGGGGTAACTTTTTTTTTTTTTAGGGCCCCCCCCGCCGCTTAGGGGTGGGGGCCAGGGGGTAGGACAA